TAGACCTTGAACTCCTGAATGCTGGCATTCAAGATACATATTTTGTCCCTTTCCCATGTCCTTTCAGGACCTCGACTGGATTTTGATCCTGACATTGTTGCTGCTCTTGATGATGATTTTGACTTTGATGATCCAGATAACCTCCTGGAAGATGACTTTATTCTTCAGGCCAATCAGCCGACAGGAGAAGAGGGGACGGGTTTGCCGTATGTGTGGTGCTTCTGTCGTGGGGGGGTAGCCACAGTCTAGGAGTTAGAGTTTTGAGAACATGCGGCCTGAGATAGCTGTATAGAGCAGAAATAATTGAATTTGAGACATGCTCTCAGGAAGTGGTGCTAAAATCCCAGAATCCTGATGGCTGGTCGCTTTGCCTACCGTGTCAGATTAGTCCCATACCATTTCTAGTCCCGCTTCCTCTAGAGCCAGCCCTCAGGAGTGGCTTCTGGGCTTGTGTGAAGTTGCTGTCAGTGTTTCAGGGGTTTTGACAGCTGACTTGTGACCGTTGGCTCTAGGGAATCTGCGGGTGAAGATGACAATGAGTGGGAAGACATGGACAGTGAGGAAGGCAGCGGTGATGACTGTAGCTCTGCGGGCCCACTGTCAGAAGGAGGGGACAGATCTGCCCCTGCGTCACCTCAGGAAGCCAGCAAAAACCACCTGTTTTGGGAAGAGGAAACTAAAAGCCGTTTCACAGAGTATTCTATGACCTCCTCAGTCATGAGGAGAAATGAGCAGCTGACGCTACATGATGAGAGGTTCGAGAAGGTGAGATCCCTGAAAAATGCCACTGAGTTCTGTCTCCCTGTGCAAAAGAGATTGGAACCAGAGTTAAGCCTTTCAGGAACTGCCTGACGCATTAAGACTGATGAGAGCTGCAGCCTGGTTTGGATTCTGGAAAGAGCCTGTATAGGGCCCAAGGGTTGACTGGTCAAACATCCTAACATCTCTTTCTGATATTTGCATATGACCATAATCGGCAGACTTTTGCTATTTTCCTAAGAGTTGCCTGGCTTAGCATCAACAAATTTCCATTATTTTAGTTCTTCATATATAACTAACACTAAACAAAAAATTAGACTGTGAGATACTTTAAAACCAGATGTATAGCAGATTTGACGCCTGTGGCAGGCCAGCTCTGGTTGACAGCACAGTGTGGACTATCCACACAAGTTCTCTCACCCATTCTACTGTAGCTCTTTACCTTTGACACTATCTCTAATGTGCTGATTTATGTATATCATCTACAAGTTTGTATTGGGTTAGGGTGTGATTTCTCCACGGGCAGAGATTCTCAAGTGTACATCCAAGTCCCTAAAGTAGTAGTGTCTGGCATGTGGTAGGACTTGAAGTGTTCTTGTCAGTAGTGAGCAAATGAAGGAGTGCTTTCAAGATTACAGAATGTACAAGTTTGCTAAAGTATCACAAAACTGTTCTCTTCTTGTCAAGAGGGGTCCACTGTTCAGTACAAACACCTCACTCATCAAGATGGAAGGATAATGCATAACAGTGCTAACAGCATCTGAACAAGAGTGGAATTTATACAGTAGGCTCCCTCAACAGCGTGATCACAGTCTGCATCACTGAGGGATGCAAAATTATCTTTAAAGTGTTCTGAGGCAAAGATCTCTGCATAGAATTTTACTTTCCAATCTGAGTAGAATAACTACCTTTTATTTTAATATTAAATAGAAGGCTGTTTTCAGACTAACTGTGTGTCTCTGAAAATATGTCTTCTGTGGGGTTGGAGTCCATGCTGCTTTTGCAGAGGATCTGAGTTCGGGTGCTAGCTCTAGAGGATCCTGGGCCCTTTTCTGGCCTCTGAATGCGCTGGTCCGAGTGTATACATGCAGTCACTAATAAACATAAAAATAAATCTTTAAAACAATGTCTTCTGTGCCACTGTCAGTGGTGCTTCCTCTCTGCTGACACAGTAATAATGGCTGGGAGCTTCTAGTAGTGCTGGGATACTATGGAGGAGTCAGGTTAATATAAATAAAATACGTAGTTAATTCGTGGTATGTTTTTCATGGCATCTTTTTTGTTGTTTGTATTCAAGTTTTATGAACAATATGATGATGTTGAAATTGGAGCTCTGGATAACGCAGAACTGGAAGGTTCCATTCAAGTAGACAGCAGTCGGTTGCAGGAAGTTTTGAATGACTACTATAAGGAGAAGGCAGAGAAGTACGACAGCTCTTCCTTCTTTAGCTGCTTTATTTTCCTACCTTCAAGTGACTGGTTGGGGGGTGTCAACGTCTAACTGATTGACTCGAGACCATGGTGTAGTAGCTAAGGTTAAAGTGGGAAATAAGGTACAAAGAGTCATTGGAGTGGGGAAATAACAAGGGCTTCTGGCCTAGGCTGAAGAGTCATAACTTAGAAGTGTCTGCTTTCTTCTTTTTTCTGAAATGGTGGGTGTTCCGAAAAGTGAATAGTTATGGCTAATAGATAAGCTTTCCTTCAGTGGATTAGCAGAGCTCACCAGTGAAGTATTTGCTCAGTCAGCGTCTGTATCAAAGTGCCTCTTATCTGAGAGAAGCTGCTGTATTAAAATCTGCTAACAGGTCTAGTACCATGAAACACTACAGAATGCAGATCCCACAGCACGAAAGGCGCCATAGGATTTAAGTGAATTCTCCGCATACTTTGGAGAGATAGATGAGCAGCTGGTGTTCATCTTAGGGAATCTGCCATCTTGTGTGATGTGGAACCGTGTACAGATACAGCTAGATTTGATGTGCCTGTCAGCAGAGCAAATGAATGTGCAAACCCTGGGAGAGTGGAGCAGGACTGGGTAGATGTGCAGACCCTGGGAGAGTGGAGCAGGACTGGGTAGATGTGCAAACCCTGGGAGAGTGGAGCAGGACTGGGTACATGTGCAAACCCTGGGAGAGTGGAGTGGGACTGGGTAGATGTGCAAACCCTGGGAGAGTGGAGCAGGACTGGGTAGATGTGCAAACCCTGGGAGAGTGGAGCGGGACTGGGTACATGTGCAAACCCTGGGAGAGTGGAGCGGGACTGGGTAGATGTGCAAACCCTGGGAGAGTGGAGCGGGACTGAGTACATGTGCAAACCCTGGGAGAGTGGAGCGGGACTGGGTACATGTGCAAACCCTGGGAGAGTGCAGCAGGACTGGGTACATGTGCAAACCCTGGGAGAGTGGAGCGGGACTAGGTATGGTGACATGTACCAGGAGCATGAGAGGCACAGGAGTAGGATTTAAAATTGCTCTTGTCTCTGGAGCTGTTTTAGTGACATGCAATTTAATGTTTTCTTTATCATGTTTTCATTTTATAAAATGCACAAAAAAGTTGTGTAAAATTGAATACTCTTGAGCCTTTTGAGGATCAAGATCTGCCAACAAACGAGCTTGATGAATCTGAAGAGGAAGAGATTGTTTCTGTAGTTCTTCAGGAAGCCAAAGAGAAGTGGGATTGCGAATCCATTTGTAGTAAGTAGCTTATTGTCCACTCAGCTGCTAAAAGTATGAAAGTGATTTAAAGTGTGTGGGAAAGTAGATATATTTTAGTAGAAGTTCAACTCTTAGGGAATTTGTGAGAAAGGCTTAGAAAGAATATGACTATTCTGCTGTTGAGTTGTAAATAATTTCAAAATGGTGTTCAGAGAGGCTCTAATGTGATTGTGCACTATAAAAACACTGAGACGGCACGTGGTGTGAACTGTATGGTGCTTTGCTGAACTTACCGTGTACTTAAGTGACACATGATCTTTTTCCAGGTACATACTCCAATTTGTACAACCATCCACAGCTTATCAGATATGAACCAAAGGTAAGTACTGACATCTGGAGCTTGTTAGAGTACCATTTTCAGGGCTGGAGAGGTAGCTCAACAGTTGAGATCACTGCCTGCTCATTCAGAGGACCCAGCTTGGTTCACAGCACACACATCAGGTGGTAACTCCAGCTCAGAGGATCTGACACCCTCTTCTGGCCTCCAGAGGCACCCATACATATGGCGTATACTCATGCAGATACGCACTTAGAAATAAAAGTTTATCCTTAATGTCCTTTTCTTGCAGTAACTAACCCTTTGTTGGTGGCATTGCCATTAGGGAAAGCACCAACAGTGTATCATTCATTAGTGAGCTGTTTTGAATAGGAATGGCAAATAACTAGTGCTCTTTTTTCTTTGCTTCAGCCCAAACAAATCCACCTCTCTTCTAAAACGGGCATACCTCTCAATGTCTTACCTAAGAAAGGACTCACAGCAAAGCAGGTTGAACGCATGCAGATGATCAATAGCAGTGATCTACCCAAAGTGTCAACCCAGCCACGTCCCCACAATGAAAGCAAAGAGGATAAAAGAGCCAGAAAGCAAGCCATCAGAGAGGAGCGGAAGGTAACTGCCCTGTGATGTGGGCCTTGTAAAGAGCTGCTGGGAGGGCGTGGTGGAAGTGCTCTTTTGTGGACAGAGTGTTTGTATACACATGTAATCTGGGGTCCTCTTTACAGGAACGAAGAGTTGAAAAGAAAGCTAACAAACTAGCATTCAAACTGGAGAAAAGAAGGCAAGAAAAGGAGCTGCTGAACTTGAAGAAGAACATTGAGGGTCTAAAGCTATAGGTGTGGAACATTCAGTATAAGTTATATTTCCATTTCGGTGGTCTTCATTATGCTCCATAATTAATCAGGATCTTAAGAGAGATAAACTTGTCCCTGTCATTTTTATATGCAAATAGCTGAGAAAAGTAGAATATTTGTATTTTTATTCAAATGAAGTTCTTTTGTCAGCTACCTTGTAACTATTATAATGTTTTGAGTTTATTGTAAGCTTATATTTCCTCTGAAATAAGTGACTTCATGAAGGTAAAATGTTTGGCTAAATTAAAGGAAAATGTCTTTATAACATGCACGGAATTAGTGTGTTCATTTATTTGTATGGTTGTCAGAATTGTTCTTTGCAGATGTTCTCAAATATTTCTTTGAAACCTCTCCACGCCTTCTCGGGAATTACATGGTTTAATTTGCCGTCTGTAGAGGAGTGGTCTGGTTAAGCTCAGTTTTGAAATGCTGAGTTTATTCTCAATGGTGAGAAGACTGTTCCTGAGAAGATTCCACGGGTAAGAGCTGATTTTCCCGTGTCCACAAAACGACCCTTTCAAAAGGACTGTGAAGATGAGCACTGCAGTTGTGGTTGGGATTTCCTGCCCTGGGAGCAGATGGCTTTTTCCCTTTGGGATTTAGGAAGAGCATAGCTGGAGTGATCAGGAATACTTACTTCATTGTAACCTAGAAAGTGTGTTGTTTAGCGTTTGGACCGTCCACAACTTATTAAATACATATTCAGAAGTGTCCAGGATTGGAGGAGTTGTTCCTGTTTGGACATCTAGAGACTGATTCAAGGCTTAGGCAGTGACTCCATCATAATGTTCATTATTTGGTCAACTGTGACTTCTCACTGACCTTTGCCCATTTGCCCCTGACCAGTGTGGACACCGTTGGTCAGAGGGAAGAACAAAATGGCTGAGGCAAGGCCAGCTGTGGCAGGTGAGCTGCACTTGATGGCTAGATTTTTACCAGTTCACCACCTGCTAGTTCATTGAGTCGTTCCCACGGCTGATGGGGATCACCTTGTTCTAAGTTTTATTCATTTAAATCTAAATTACTGTATTTCTTTTAGAGTTGTGAAAAACTCTGAAATTGTATTCTGTTAAAACTTAACAACCAAAAGTAAAAATAAAAAGGTGCATACGGTTTGTCATTGAGGAAATGTAGCATTACTGAGTGTGTGCTTAAATGCCAACCTGCAGAGTTAGTTGATGTTTGATGTGAATATTGGGAATAAAAATCCTAAATGGATGGGCCATTTATCATGTTGACCATCTCCACAGAAGAGTCTCGAAGTCTTCAAGAGTCTTGGGCACAGGATGTCACTCTGGTCTGGTCCTATTCAAATTCATCTCTTATAAATAAGAGAATGCAACTCAGCTGTGAGTCTTGAGATGCATGTTGCTATGGGGGCTGATGAATTTAAAAGCTTAAAGACTGTAATTCTATTCCGGAGAATAGTTCTGTGGCGACTTTAATGAATTACTAGGATTTGTTAGCAAATTCTCCGTACACACCCCAGACCTGAAAACACCCCCTCCCCCAAACACACCCCCAAATCCTCAGTTTTTAGTTCTCTGTAAACGGTGTTGAAAACGGAACATATCAGCTCCATGCTGAATGATAGGAGTTCACAGAGATAAGAGGGATTTTACCTTCAAGAACTACTTGGTTGGAGACAGTTCAGAAGCACAGATAAGTGCTAATGCCATCATTGTGACAAGCACCACTTGTGATGAGGACCTGCATACTCACTGCTCCCCTATAGTCTTTAGATAAGCCTTCAAGGTTGCTCAGTTGTTACCTTCCTTCGATGATTTCCAGAGTATGTGTTTTAAAAGCACATCCGCCTCCCTAGCACTCCCTCGTCCCCTGCTTTGTGCTCTCTGTAGCACTGACATACAAGGCTGCTTCTCAGGATCCTCTCTGACTAGGGAAAGGTTGGAGAGCAAAACCTTTTGTTTACCACTTTACCCTGCTGGCCAAGCTAGCGCCTCTCATTTAGTGACTAGTGTTAAATGGCATAGGTATGGATGGGTACAGGGTGACATAATTCATAAAAGAATGGCTTAAACTTGGGCCAGGACAATGATCCATTCATAAGGGTAAGCAAGGAGAAACGATCCCAAGTGGGCACTGAGAAATCTACTTTTGGTTCTTGTATGTGTAGATGCACATGCCACTGTGCACGTGGCAGTCAAAAGACGGCTTCGTGGAGTTGGTTCTCTATGTGGGTTCCGGGAACTGAACTCAGGTCACTGGCCCTGCCTACTGAGATTAGTCTTGTTTGAACATTGTCCTGGATTGGTTTCAAAGCTTTGTCATTAGATACTTCTGTAGTATTATAAGTCTGTGTGTCTTCACTGCTGGGGCCTTTTGTGGGTGCTGTCTTGATGCACTGTATAGACATGTAGGATCCAAAGCCTGCATTGTGACATCATTCTATCACCTCATGGAGAGCAACCCCAAACCCTAACCCCTATTCACATATTCCATGTTGTTTTTGTTTTTACATGTTGACAGTGGTTTGCTTTAACTTGCCTGTTTGACCTAGTTAGAGGGCAGAAACATAAGGATTCCAGTGCTTGGTAAGTGAGTTGTGAGCTAGGAAGTTAGTTATGGTAAAATATGTCATGTGCAAACACGTGCTTGTTGTGCAAATAAGAAAGAGAACACAGAAGCAAGTAGCCTCAGGATCTATTCTAGGCTTGATTTTCCCCCTACTCATTTATAAACTACCCAATCTTACACCAAACAATACCCGTTTTCTTTAAACCACTTATACCCTTTAACACAGCTTCCTTATCTTTGAACCAACTAGAAACCCAAACCTACCTCCGAAGGCAGCATTTGCAACTCTTAGTTGAGGTGTCTTAGAGATGACCTAAACAGCCCCCAGCTCTGACTTCAGCTTCTAGAGTATGTGCACCTGTGTGCACATGTCAGCGAGCAAGGTGCTGAGTGAATCCTGGAAGCCTTCTGCCATGGGAGGAGTTATGCTTACAAGCTGCATTCTTGGCTTGTGTTTCTGTATCTGAGCTCACCAAGAAGGACCTCCACCTTAGTGTCAGTGCAGAGCTACAGCACTAGCCTGAAGGGCTTCTGAGTTTTAGAATAGCGATGCACATTTGGAAAGGAAGAAAGAAAGCCAAAAAGGAAATTAGAAAGTGATTATCATTTTTATTCTTACCACTCAAATGTAGTTACTGTGTGTTTTTGTGGTTTTGATTTTGTTTGTTTATTTATTTATTTAGATAGATAGATAGATAGATAGATAGATAGATAGATAGATAGATAGAATTTTTTTTTCAAGACAAGGTTTCTCTGTGTAGCCTTGGCTGTCTGTAGACCAGGCTGGCCTCAAACTCTGGGAAATCCTCCTGCCTCTGCCTCCTGAGTATTGGGATTAAAGGTGTGCACCACCATCGCCAAACTCTGTTTCTTTTGTCTACATGTAATTCACAAATCCTTTTGGTTGCTTGGTTGATTTCAAGGGGTTTTTGGTTGGTTGGTTTGTTTATGTGTTTTTATTTTGTTTTTCTAGATAGGATTTATCTGTGTAGCCCTGGCTGTCCTGGAATTCAATCTGTAGACCAGGGTTGCTTCAAACTCCTCCTGCCTCTGCCTCACAAGTGCTGGGATTAAAGGCAAGTGCTGGAGTTAAAGGTGTGTGCCACCAAACCTGACTGCTTTTTTTAAAGTCTCTTACTGTAGTCTTGGTCAGAGTTGAGCTCAAGTCCTCTTGCCTCCTAAGTGTTGGCATTACAAACGTATTTTTAATTGGTGCATTCACATTCATCAGTCAGCAACCCATATTCATGAATGGCCACACAGTATGCTTTTTTGCTTTCCAGGTCATGTGTCCTCTCAAAGCTACACAACTGCAGATAGTGTGAAAGCAACAATAGCTATAAGAAAATGAGTATGGGGGCACTCCCATAATACTTCATCTTCAAAAACATTCCGTCTCGGTGTGTTCACAGATCACGGTTTGCTCACTCCTACTTAAATGTTTCCTTTTGACAGAACATGCATAGCTTTGCAAAAAGTGGCAGTATGGCCAAGGGATCTCTTGCACCCTTAACCCAGCTTTCCCCCAAGCTTCTTGTTGAACAGCTGCACTACAACATCCGAACCAGTAAATGTCATTAATGTGTGCTCTTGGCTTGGTACTGTTTGCCGTGTAACCACTACCCTCCTTTGGCAAAGATCCAAACCTCTTCCATCACACAAAGGGAGACCGTTCTCATCCTACCGTCTCACATCCAGCCTCCACGCACCAACCATTCCTACAGCTTGAGAATCTAATGTCTAATTTCCATCTCTGTCATTTTGACATTTGACGATAGTTTGCAAATGGAGTCATGTCGAATGTAACTTGGCTTTATTTCACTCAGCACTGAGATCCTTTTCAGCTCTCGCATGGATCAATAGCATTCCTTTTTATTGTTGTGTAGTGTTCCAACGTATGGGTACTCCACAGTTCATGTAGCCTTTTGCTCACTGAAGGGTATTTTGCTTGTTTCAAAGTGTTCTTTTAAGGTTGTATGGACCAAATCTTCGATTTGAGTCAGTACAGAGTATGACAGTATAGACCTTGAACTTCATGTGTGATTCAGCTGTTGAGGAAGATACTCTCTTCATTCATTAAAGACAAGCTTCCAACTTGAATGTTGTTCAGAATGGAGTGGTCCTTCCATATCCAGGTTTTTAATTGGGTCATATCTTTTATTTTAAAGTCCTTGAACTCACTAAAACTCACTGATTTAAGCCAAAGATCATTGGTCTTCTGAGGGTTTCCAGATCCTTTGTTGATTAACAGGGACATCATAAACCTATACTTGAATTTTAGTCTATCCTTTGTAGAGGCAGAAACTTGGGTTCAAATCTCAGGGTTACCACTTGGAATTTGTGGACTGAGAGAAGTCACTTAACTTTCAGCCTCCATTTTTCTCTGTGAAAACAGCACCAGCCCTGTCTTAGAAGGTAACTGTGAGGAGCCGGTGAAATAACCTAGACGTGGAGAGAACCAAATAAATATGACTATAACACGAATAAGAACATTACCTTCAGTAATGTTGCAGGGGAATGACAGTTTTAGAATCAAGTGTTTATTAACAAGTTGAGGGGGGAGAGTAGCTTTGCTGAAAATTTTACTTTTTTTAAGACCCAGTTTTGCGGACAGCCGAAAGGACGGGACGGGGAGTATTTCTGTGGGCTGAGGTGGATGGCCTGTGCTGAGAACACAATACCAATTAGCAGACCTGTGAAGAAATTGTTTAAATCAACAGCATCTGCACACCCTGCCATCTGCTTCCTGTTAAGCAGATCTCCCTTTTTCACATGGTTCCCCTGTCGGTTGCCATGGCCCTGCTCTCAGCTTCTCCTGGCTTATCACCATCATTTCCTTGGCCTTAAGTGGAAGTTTCCCTAAGGATCCTCTCTCCACAGCTTTTTCCACAACTTCGTCCCTGGCAGTGTCCTGCTTTACCTCATTCCCCAAAACCTACATCTGCGTCCCTCACCCTGACCTCCCTCATTTCCATCCTGCTGGCTGGACAGCTCTGTTGAACTCGGTAGTTCCCAGACTGGGTCATTTTTCTTCCCCAGATGCACTTTTTTTTTTTTCAACTCCCTAGTTCTATCCACAGACCCGCTGTCTTCTCTGGCTTCCTGCCTGTGCACGTAGCATTGTCCCCAAGCCTTCATCTTTCTGTCACTTCCCCACCCTTACCCCAAAAAACTCACCCTGTTGGAGAGTCTTCGGTATATGTTCTCCTTCCTCCCCTGTTTAAATCTCCATCCCAGTCTTTAAATTAACACGCCCCTATCCATCTTCAAGTATGTCATGTGAGTCCTCCACAGCTCTGTGCTGGTTCCCTTGAGAACCACGGTGTTCCAAGATGTCCCTCCTTGTCTATGTAAAAGCTGTATTTTTATTCCAGTATAAGACCCCTATGCTTAGACCCGAAACTTAAAAAAAAAAAAAAAAAAACTTTACGTACTCAAATTCAGACTAACTGAAAAGAAGTACTAAAAAGTGAAATCTTAGCAGTCCCTAATATTTTGCTTTTCTCTAACTACTTTTAAAGTAATTAATCTTCTAACTTAGAAATGCGTCTTCCTATTTTCTGTCATTTTTCTATGTTGGGCCCATGTAGGGTTCCTTTCAACATATTTAATTATTTCTTACAAGATTTGTTAGTCCTGTGCTAGAAACTCAATTTTTGTTTGACTTATATCTTCCAGCAGTACTTAATTTTCCCCATTATCTAAGTGTGTGTGTGTGTGTGTGTGTGTGTGTGTGTGTGTGTGTGTGTGTGTGCGCATGCTTGCACATGCCTGTGGTAGAGAGGTCAGAGGTTGAGGTCATGTGTCTTGCTTAACTGTTCATTTTATTGACAGTCTCTCACTTGAACCTGAGTCTTGCTGGTTGGCTGGATTGGATGGCCAGTGAGACCCCAAGATCTGCCTATCTAATTCCCTCCAGTGCTAGAGCTGCAGATGGAGGCCACCATGCTAGCATTTATTTAAGTACTGGGGATCCATAATCAGGCGTTCATGCTTGTCCAGCAAGAACATTACCCCCGAGCCACCTCTCCAGACCCCTAGAGAGCACTTTCCTTTGTCTGGGGAAGGCATGGACCAGTTTTCCTTGAGACATCAATGACAGTCTATCTTCAGCCTAAGCAGAATCCCAAAGATGTCACCATCAGATAATTTGTGACTTTATGCTAATACATTACCTCTGTGCTTATGTCTAATGCATAACTCTCAGCACCCCATTTACCCACCAAGGCAAATAATTACACTCTGTTTGCCTCGTTTGTGTAATTTACTTGTGTGTTGAGGAGAGAAGTTTATATTAGGAAAAGAAAACTTGTGGGATTGTTAAGGCTCTTCCGAGGAGGAGGAAGCAGGTGGTGGGGATGGACAACTGTGAGGCTGACAGGCGACTGAGGTCACCTACAGTCACTCGTCTTTCCTCAGCCAGGCAATTCCATGAAACTTAACATAATGTGCTCTTGAATCTCATGCAGATGGCAATCAGAAGCTATTTCCCTGTGAAGTCTGTGGGAGATGCTTTGCAGCAGATGTTCTGGTAAACATAAAGACATTTTGTAGATGTGTTTCATTGGAGTTAAATGAACTGTCAAGTCAGTGAGGAGGTAACGGTGCCAAGATTAAAGACAGATGTGGAGAGGGGTGGGGGGAGAAGTACATAACCTATGGCTGCCAGGTCCGGAGGACACTGAGGCAGCCTGATAATGCTCCGTTCAGAAGTGACCCTGTTAACCACGATCTCCCTGAAAGCATGCCAGATGGAATGGTCTTGGCACAGACCACTTCCCTTGAGAGATTCTGGCTCTCCCGCCTTTTCTTTAAGCATCAAAAATTCAAATTTCAAGGCCAAAACACCAGGGAAATTAGCTGGTCGAGAGGAATGAGCATTGGATTTCAGGCATCTGGAAACTTGGCTCGTAGCTGCAAATTTGTCACTAATTCTGACAAGTCCTGTAACCGTCCTGTTTTCTGCCTTGCCACGTACACGGAACTCTCTGATTTCAAGGGGGTTTTAAACCTTTGGAACAAATAATGCATGGATACAAGCCTGCTCCAAGATCTAATTTTCCAGATACGAACTAACTGCATGTCAAGTTCCCAGGCTTTAAAGTTGAACAAAAGTTTGGATTATTTCAAACTTGAGGGGCGCAGGGGGTGGGGGGGATGGGTTTCAAGCAAATGGTACCACCCTAGTGTTGTAAGGAGATAGCCAAGAAAGATAAATTTTTAAAAAGGAATTCTTAGGATGATAATGTAATCATTTGGGTATTTTAGATCATGGGATAGGATATTGAACTTGCAGATTTAGGGTTTGGATGACAAGGGACCTCCAACATGTGGTTGTAGGTTTTGTTTTTCTGAGAAATTTTAGAAACGAAATATGTGTTCTGGGTAAACTGTGGTTGGAGCCCCTGAAGCTACCAGTAGAACTCACACAGGCCTGTTGCAGCCCAGTGTCTACCAGTATCTTTCAGCACACTGTTACCTTTACTGGCTAGGAGCTGCACCCTGAGAGGAGTTGAGACCTAGGTGGTACCTCTGACTAGCAATCACTAAATGCTAAGTATGCTTTACATACTCCCGAGTCTCACTCCTAAGCCTGTCTCTCGGCTGTACAGAACACTGAATGACATGGTCTGATAACCTCTCCTGTAGTTTAACATGGATGACTTGGAGGAACAGAGATTTTCATAGAACCTGCATTTTGAGAATCCAGACAAAGCAACTTTGTAAATGGTAGCCGTTATGGACGAGGACAAAGATGTGCATGCTGTGACCTAGAGGCACTGTGACCAACTGTATTAGTTGCTGTGATGAAACATGCTGACCAAAAGCAATTAAAGGAAGAAAGGGTTGTCTTTGGCTTACGGTTCCAGACAGATAAAGCCCATCGTGGCCACAAAAGCATGGCATGGTGGGAAATGCATGGCAACCGGAGCTGGAAGCTAGCTGGTCACATTGTATCTAAACAGAGGAAGCCGACTAAATGAACAGGAAATAGGCCAGCCCTTGGTAAGAGACTTTGTCCAGCAAGGCTCCACCTCCTGAAGGTTCCATTGCATCCTCACACAATGCCCCCAAATGGGGACCAAGTACTCAAGTCCCTGAACCCATGAGGGACATTTCTTATTCAGAACACCATACCATAACTTTCTGCAGGGACACCAAGCAGAGCTCTATGTGTTTTCCAGTTTGTCCTTTAGACAAGTTGAGTATTTTAAAGACTACTGACTGGAATGAAGAGCACATGGCCTAATTTTTAGAGTTTGAGATGTAAAATCAAATTTAAAGTCAAACTCTTTAGCTACTGTTTTAAACTTCTGTTACTATAGCAAAATACCTGAAACAGTCACATTATGAACAGAAAAGATTACATTTGTCCCAGTTCTAGAGGTGCCATTTCATGAGAACTTAGCTCCATTGCTTTGGTCCTGTGGTTGTAGCAGTAAAAACATAAAAGGAGGCAAAGCTTTTCCATTCGTAAGCAGTAAGCAAAAGAAAATTAGAAGAAAGGGGGTTGAGTCCACAGTTTCTTGAAAGGATACACACCCCTGATGACCAAAAATCCTCCCAGTAAGAACTCACCCACTTTTGCTGTCCTGCTTTTGAGACAGGGTCTCTTTATGTAGCCCAGGGTACCTTGCACCCACAACCCTGTTCTCTGGGCTTCCCTGGTACTAAAACAGAGGCCCACACCTCCATTTCCAGCTTAGACCTCACCTCTTAAAGGTCCACAAATATAGGAAACTGTAAAACGCCTTTTGTTACCTTTCCCTAAATACAGTATTGAGCTATGTCTGACATGACTGGGGAGAGTGATGGAATTCCTCTACTGTGGCCTAGAATTAGAGAATGGACTAAATCCTACAAGCACTAGCCTGTCACCATCCTGGAGGCTAAGTATGTCATCATTAAAACTTTGTGATCATACATTTTCCAAATCCAATCCCTTCCCTTCCTTGTCTAGGAAAGACATGGACCAATATGTAAGAAACTTTTCAACAAAAAACGCAAACCCTTCGATTCCTTGAAGCAAAGATTGCAGGGAACTGACATTCCCACCATAAGTCAGCCGCCTCAGCCCAAGGTATGCCAATGACTTCTTTACTTCTCAATACAGAAAGTACATTTAAGCTGGTTTCTTGGCTCTCTGGTTTCATTTTTTGCTTGATAAGGCAGTGTAATGGAATTTAAATATAATCCACCTTTACTGTTTTCTGTATAATCTTACTTAGATTTCCAAATAAAGTTTAGATACTTTCCAGATGTAGTTGAAAGAATCCTGTTTACATTTTCATTAGCATGCCTTTCAGTCTAGAAAGTGGTCTGGGAAAAAAGTTACTCCCCGCTTCCCTGACCCTCTGAGATAAGGTTTCACTGTAGAGCTAAGGTTGGCCATGAACTGCCTGCATAGCCCAACTAGCTTTAAGTTCACAATCCTCCTGCCTCAACTTCCCCAGTGCTGAGACTGTACATGTGCATGCAATACCAGTAAGAAAGTTACCGTTGGGACCAGCAAGCTACCTGCCACCAAGCCTGACAACATGAGTTCGGTCCCCGGGGAACCAGACGGTGGGAAAACAGTCCCGAGAGCTGTCCCCTTACACCCCTCGAGAGCTGTGGTCTAGACACACCCCCACACACAAATAAATCAGCTAAAATGAAATTTCCAAACAAAAGCTTAAGAAAGTCACCTTTCATCTTGCATCTGTCTTTCTCTAAAGTTTTATGGTTTCATTGTTTCTCTGATTTTTATTTAGTGTGTGTGTGTGTGTGTGTTGTCACTGTTATGACTTGCAAACGATATTGCTGTAGTTTGCAAACTTTTTAAAATAGTTCTCTTGGGGAAAATTTTTTTCTCTACAAAAAACTTTCTCTGCCAGTTACACGACCCCATTTGCTATAAATTCAAAACCTAGGTATTTTTTTAAAAAAAAAAAATCTGTAGCTTGGTATGTAGTGTGGGGCAGTAGATGCTGCTTTGGTTTTGTTTCTCACAGGGTCAGCCCATGAGGAAATCCAACTGGAGACAGCAGCATGAGGATTTCATCAATACGATTCGGTCAGCAAAGCAGTGCACTCTAGCCATTAAAGAGGGCAGGCCCCTTCCACCTCCACCTCCTCCAACCATCAACCCAGGTGTGTGCGTATTTGGCTTGCTTTGGGGGTCTCGGCTGACTTTTAGCCATATAAAAATGACAGTGATAATGACATTGAGGTAGTTTTATTCGTTATTTAAGTAAATATGTGCAGCCCATGTTATTACCCTTTTCTTCCAGTTCACAGAGCTTATATGTTCCCTCCTGTCTGTCCCACCTTGAGACGCCATCAGGAGACATCATCACACCTGGTAGTGTCAGTACATACCTAAAGGGCACCTCATTTGCACCGTGGTTGAGGGGCAGGAAGCTGTTCACAGTTCTATACTGGTTCCACCGGGTCAGCCACGTACAGCTCCGTGTTTGCAAGTGATAAGCTCATAAAGCTAACCATTTAAAGTCGTATGGTTTAAGTGGCTTCACAGCTTTCCTTCCTCCAAGTTTTGTACTTTGAAAAGTTTCAAATCTAAGAAAGAGGAAAGAATAGGACAATAATCATTTACGTGTCTTCTCAAGTCCAAGGATTGTAGACTGTACTGCCTCAGTATCTCTATCTCTGTCTCTGTCTGTCTCGTCTGTCTGTCTGTCTGTCTCCTCTCTGTGTCTCTTTCTTCTCTGTCTCTCTCTGTGTATATGTGTTTTATTGGGTCAGGTACCACACACACACACACACACACACACACACACACACACACACACACACACACACACGTGCACACACACAAAGATCAGAGGACAACTTTTAGGATTGATTTCTTTCTTTCTACTGTGGGTCCTGGCGATCAAACCAGGTTGCCGGACTTGGTGGCAGGCAGGCACCTTTACCCACTGAGCCATCTCAGTGACCCTGGAAGAAGTCTCTAACCGTGCAGTTTTAGATGGCGGTACTTTATCCTTGACAATGTCAACAATTCATCTCTGAAGGAAAACACAGATTCATGATTTCCAAGTAATTTTAAGAATGTTTCTAAGGCTCTCCCCATACCCACCCAGCCAGAATCCAGAGTCCAGTCAAGGGCCAAATGTTCCTTTCCGTTGTCTTTTCAGATGGTTTTCGAGGTTCTGCTCCACCTTTGTCCAATGATTGAACTTTCAGAATGCTGCCTGTTCTGTATTTGTCTGCCTGTTTAGTCATAGTGATGTCTAACTTGTCCCTCTGTCCCATCTTTCAACAAGTTGGAAGCTAGGACTGGAGACTGAGTTAGGTTCATTTTAACCTCTTGTCAAATGTGTGATTTGCAAATAGTTTTTCTCCTATTTTGTGTTGCCTCTGGACAGTATTGTATTTAGTTAAAGTGCAACATTTTAAATTTTGAATTGCTTTCTCTTTTGTGGTCTATGTTTTTCATGTTATAGACAACAATATCATTGCCAAATACAGGGCTAACACCTCTACCCTGAAGAGTCTTTTGTTTGGGGTCAAAGCTCTCATGTAGCTCAGACTGGCCTCAAAGTTGCTATATGGTCAAAGATGACACCCAGTCCCTGGTCCTCCTTTCACTTCCACAAGCTGGGACGACAGGTGTGCACCACCCGGCCTAACCCCCTGTGTTTCTTATTCTGAAGTTCTTGGATTTACTGGGAGGTGGTTTGTCTATTCTGAGTTAGCACTTGTGGGTAATGCAAGGGAAGGCTTCCATCTTACTCCTTGATGGCACACCGATAGTCAGTTCCCTCAGCTCCATTTGCTGAGAAGGCCATCCGTGAGGGTTGATGGGAAGTGAATGTGGGAAGCATACATGACATACGTCAGCGGTTTCAACCTGTGGCTTGCAACCCCCTTGGGAACCGCTCCAAAAACATTTACACTGTGATTCACAACAGTAGCAAAATGACTGTTATGAAGTAGCAACAAACATAGTTTTATGGTTGGGGGTCACCACACATGAGACACTGTGTTAAAGGGTCACAGCACTAGGAAGGTTGAGAACCACAGGCATACATGATATAGTTGGTCAAAATGTTATCATGGGAACCCAACACTTTGTACAATGACTATACAACAATAAAAAATGAATCATTTAAAAGGCCATTCTCCCCTTCCTGAACAGTATCAGTATCTTATTAAAAGTTACTGAGGGCCCAGCAAAGTGGCTCAGTGTGTTAAGGTGCTTGCCACTAAGCTTGACAGACTTTGTTCCAACCCTAGGACTCATATGGTGGAAGATGACTTTCACATGCTCCTCCATACATACGCACACAAATAAATAAACCTGATCTTTAAAAAAAATTGGAAGTCAAGTCACTGTACACTTGGAAGTTTAATCTCTCTATTCTATGCCACTCATCTACAGTTGTCCTCATGCCAGTGCAGCTCCACTTTGATTACCACAGGAATAAAGTAAGTTTTGAAACCAAAAAGTGTGAATGCTTCAGATACAAGAAGCTGTTTTGGCTGTTTGGGGTCTTCTGACATTCCATATGAATTTTAGGACTTTTTTTCCCTATTTCTACAAAAAAAAAAAAAAAAGTCACTTTGGGAGATGGAGAGATGGCTCAGCATAATAGAGTTCAGAAGATCCAGGTTCAGTATCCAGAACCCACATGGTGCCTCACAACCTTCTGCAACTCCAATTCCATAAAGTTACAGAACCTCTGTAGGCACCTGCACTCACGTGATGCACATTCAGACAAGCAGGCCGTCTCAGTTACTTTTCTATTGATGTGATAAGACAAGACCAAGGCAATTTAAAGAAGAGAGAGTTTATTTGTGCTTATAGTTTCAGAGAGTTAGAATCCATGGCCATCAAGACAGGGAGCAGGGCAGCGAGTAGGCAGGCATGGCACTGGGATAGTACCTGAGAGCTTACATCTTGACTCATAAGCACAAGGCAGAGAGAGCTAATTGGGAATGGCATGGGCTTTTGAAACCTCAAAACCCACCCCCAGTGATATACCTCCTCCAACAAGGCCACACTTCCTCCAACAAGGCCACACCTCCTCTGACAAGGTCACACCTCCTCTAACAAAGCCACACCTACTTTAACAAGGCCACACCTCCTAATCCTTCCCAAACAATCCCACCAACAGGAAACCAAGCATTCAAATATCTGAGCATATGGGGGAGCCATTCTTATTCAAACCACCACACAAGCACACACACATACACATGAAAAATAAACAAAAATGTTTTGAATGCCACTTTGGAATTTTAACAGGGACTTCACTAAACCCATAGATGACTTCGGATAATACTGTCATTTTAACAGTATTATTTTCTACTGCATGGGCACGAAAATGGCTTTACATTTATCTGTGTTTTCTTTTATTCTTTCACCAATGTTTTCTATGTATTAGTCTTTTGCTTTCTCATTTGAATTTATTCATAAGTTTTTTATCCTTTTTGATTTTCCAGAAAATGGAATTTTTAGCCTTGCTCATTATTCATTGTTTGCACATACAAAATGCAGCTTAGTTTTGGTATGCCAACTCTGTATCCTGTAACTCTGCTGGATTTATTTATTAGCTCTAACACTGCTTCTGTGGAATCATTAGCATTCTGTATATATGTCATCTGTAAACAGATAATGTTATTCTGCCTTTTCTCTTTGTATGCCTTTTATTTCTCTTTCATGCCTAAATTATGTCTAGTACTTCCAATACTTGTTAGATACAGGTGGCAAAAATGAGTGTTCTCATCTTGTCTCTACTGAGTACAGCACCACCAGTAGGTTTTATGTCACTGGGTAAAGCAAAAATAAGAGTATTCTTGGTAGGATTTTGACATGTGAAATGAAATGTACGAAGCAGTGGCACAAAGTTGAATGAGGAGAATAAACATATTTTTCAGGTTTCTATACAAGAATAGATATAATAGCTTGTGAAAATACATTGGAGGTTGCTAGAGGACCCATTTAAAAATATTGAGGTGTACCTAGTAAAACATATCAGGTATGAAGAATGGGGGTGCGGGCAGAGAACATATGGGATAAAGACAAATAGCAAGATGCAGGTTGGACAACTGCATATAAATGGCCTACTACTCCAGATAAAGACAGACACCGTCAAGCTATGTAATAAAGCAAGAGCCAACAGTATGCTTTTCATGAGAAACACACTTTAAGGACAAAATCTAAAAGCCTGGGGAAAGATGCAAGCAATAATCATAGAACTCGAGTATCTGCTGACATTGGGCAAAGAGAACTTTAGGATAAATGTTAACAGAAACAATGATTCAAAAGCTACAGTCATTAAGACGACCTATGTGCATGTCCTTAGTGCTTCTGAGAATGTAAAACAAAACTTGACTAAGCTGGAAAGAGATAAATTCACAGTTCAATTATATTCAGGCATCTTGTCGTTCATATCATAATAACTGATAGGCTGACCCAAAGGAAAATCAGTAGCGCTACAGAAAACTTGGGTAGCAGTATCAACCAATCTGGCCTCACTGACATTAACAGATGTCAGAGGACAAACAGAGCAGAATACACATTGCTTTCAGGTACACAGGGAACATTGTATTCAAGGCTGTAAAGTCAGCGTCAGGAATCTTAGAGGATTGAAATAATACAGAATATATTTTCTGACCACAATAAAATTAAATTAGAAGTTAATGAAAAAATATATCTGGAAAATTTCCGAGTACTTAGAAATAGCAAGTGATTTCTAAACAGACCACAAATCTAAGAACAAGTCACACACTGAATTAGAAAATACTTTAAGTGAATGATAATGAAAACATCAAAGTTACAGGGTCTTGGCTTATATGCTGATAATGTTTTGCTTTTAAAAGTAAAATATGAGCAAACTAGCCTAAATTAAATAGAAGGGAAAAATAATAAATGTAATTTATTATAACAACAAAATATTTTAAGAGGCATTTGATCATCTCGAAAGAGCAAAGCTGTTTGACAAAGTACAGCACTGTTTTTACAGATTAAAAACAAAACAGAAACTCTCTCAGCAATTGGAAAATAAAAGAATTTCTCCCATAAAGAGAATCTTGGAAAAAAATCTCTATTTCTCAACGATGACCAACCAAACACATTCCCACATAGCTCGGGGGCGGGGGGGGGGGGGGGAAGCAAGAATGTCCAT